TAAATTCTGACAAGAAGCAGATTTGTACCACTCTCTAAATTTGAATTAGTATAAAAATGTTTACTAATTTGAATTAGTGATTGACTTTTTGCTTTTAAATTTGAAAATTTGACTAATAAATAGTAATTTCTACTAATTTATTAGTCAAATTTACTAATTCAAAAGCAAAAAGTCAATCAAATTATTAAACATTTTTTCTGATTCAAATTTAGAGAGCACTTATGAAATATTTTATTTTTCAAAATATTACCTTAAATTCCCTCACGTCTGACTAAATACAGATCTGTATTAATTAAAATTATTATTTCCTACATGGAGAAAACTAATTAAGTTACTTTTACTACCTTCATATAGTAAAACATAAACTGTCCGAAATTTCAGTGCATTTCAGCTTCAATTTTCACTATATTTGTGAAGTAAATTTTACCATAATTTGCAAAATAAATTTAATTTAATGCTGACATAGTAAAATTTACTAGAACATAGTAAAAGCTGCCATATAATTGGACAGAAATTATTGTTATTGTTATTATTATTATTATTTTGCAAAATTAAAAAATTTTATATTTTCAAATATAAACATTAATTTTTGAATAATTTCAGATTCAAAATTTTTTAAATTCACTTAATAAAAATACAATTAATTATTCTTTTTTATTATTATCAAAAACTTTCATACAATTTTTCGCAAGAATTCAATTATTTTTATAAATTAATAATAACATTCTATGGAAGAATTCAATTATTTTCACAAATAGTAAAATTCTTCGTAGGAATTCAATTATTTTCAAAACAATTTTAATAAAATTTCATGAAAGGATTGAATTATTTTTGAAAACTTCTAATAACATTTTTGAAAGAATTCAATTGTTTCCTAAAATTTTAATAAAATTCTTCGAAACAATTCAATTATTTTGATAAATTGTAAAATTCTTCGTAAGGATTGAATTATTCTTATAAAAAACCCTATTTTCAGAAATTCAATTATTTTCAATATAATTTTAACAAAAATTATTGAGATAATTTTAATAAAATTTAATAATATTATTAGTTACAATTATTAACAAACAAGATTATTTTAAAAAATTAAAAGAAATTCTTCATATAAAATTCAATTACTTTTAGAATTTTCAATAAAAATTATTGAAAAGACTCCATTATTTTCAAAAATTTTAATAAAATCTCTGGGAAAAATTTAATTATCTTCAAAGTTTTTGATAAATACTTCGCAAGAATTCAATGATTTTAAATATATTAAGATTAAAATTCAAAATATTTAAAAAGAAAAATTATTAATTATTTATTAAATGAATATTTTTTAGAATATTTACTGAACGAATAATTACAATATATGTGTATTTATTTGAATTTTTGATGCATTACTTTTCATTTGAATACTTATTCGATTATTTGTAAAATTATCATATTTATTGAATGAATATTTAAATACTTATTGGATGAATATTTAAATATTTATTGAATGATAATATTTCAATAAATATTCAAATAAATATTCACTTAAGGAATGTCAAAGCAACAAATATTCAATAAATATTCATTTATTAATAATGCAATAAAAATTTATTTTAAAAATATTCAAATTTAAATTTATTTAATAAGTACTCAAACAAATATTTATAACAATATTAATAATAATAATAATTAATATTTATTGAAGAAATATATATTTTAACTCATCAAAAAATTAATTTCATTTCTTTTCCGCATTAAGTTCCAAATTCAAAACCCTGACAACTTGAACTAAAGTGCAAGAACTAAAAAACTATCCACAATCTTCAAAAGAGACAAAAAAAAACCACGTTTCCAAAAAAAAGAATCAATTTCCAAACGCAATGTTGAAAATGAGGATCCTCATTTTGCATTAAAGGAAATTACGTCAATTTTTTTTTCATTTTTTTTTTTTGTTTCCCCTTTGACGAGAGGAATATCTAAAAGGATGGAAAAGCACTTAGGCGGATAAGGTCGAGTTTCTGTTTAAACTTGGTTGGACAAGAAAAGGCGGCACGCCTTGAGAAAGTTGAATTTTAAAGGTGGAATACATATATATATATGTATAAATATAAAAGACAGAGACGATGACGACACACCAGCCAACCAGCAGTAAAGATGAAGAAAATGGGGTGGTGGATAAAGTGTGTGCCTAAGGCATCGGTGAAACTTGGAGAGGGAGAGAGTTGAAAAAAAAGAAGAGAGATTTCTTTGGGCACCCAATGTAGAGAGAAAGCAAAGCTAAGAGCTGGAATAAAAATGATAATGCAGCGAAAAATTCCAGCAGCATTCGTCGCTCGCTCGAGAAAATAATATCTATTGTGTCAGTCAGCGACTCTTTCTCTTCTAAAGGAAGAACCGTCTTCTTTCTTTCATTCTTTCTCTCTTAGTCTCTCTTTTCTTTTTTTCTTTTTTCTTTTCACCCTCTCCTTTTTCTACCCTACTCTACTTTTTACTTTATTTTCTCCTCTTTTTTCTTTTCTACATTTTTTCTATTTTTTCTATTTTTTCCGTCTTCTGTTTTTAGCCTTTTCCCATTTTTTTGTCTTTTTTTCTCCCTTTTTCTATTTTCTCCTTTTTGTATTTTTCCGCTTTTATTTTTTTCTACCTTTTTCTATTTTCTCCTTTTTTGTAATTTTTACACTTGTTTATTTTTTCTCCCTTTTTCTATTTTCTCCTTTTTGTACTTCTCCGCTTTTCCTTTTTTTCTACCTTTTTCTATTTTCTCCTTTTTGTATTTTTCCGCTTTTCTTTTTTTCTACCTTTTTCTATTTTCTTCTTCTTCTTGTATTTTTCCGCTTTTCTATTTTCTCCCTTCTTCCATTTTTTCCACCTTTTTATTTTTTACACATTTTTCCGCTTTTTTCTTTTTCCTCCCTTTTTCTATTTTTTCCTTTTTTGTATTTTTTCCGCCTTTTTCTTCTTTCTCCTTAAATTCCTTCATTTTCATTTTTATCCATTTTTCAATTTTTTTTGTCTTTTTCTTTGTTTCTTTTTCTTTTTTCTGAATTTTTTCCTCCATTTTATAAATTTTTTTTTTTTGCTTTTTCTACTTTTTAGCCTTTTTCTTTCTTTTTATTTTTCCATTTTATTCGCCTTTTTTTCTCATTTTTTTACCATCTCCACTTTTTTCTAATTTTTTCCTGTTTCTGCCGTTTTTACTTTCTTCATTTTTTCGCCTTTTTCTTTTTTCAAAATTCTTCTTTTTTTTACCATTTTTCTTCTATTTTGTTTTTTTACATTTTTTTCACCTTTTTCTTTTTTCCTTTTTCCGACTTTTTTTTCCTATTTTTTTTTGTTTTGTTTTTGCTTCTCCCTTTTTCTTAATTTCCCCTCCTCTTCTCTATTTTATTTATTTTTACCCATTTTTTCTGACCGTTTACCATTTTTCTTTCTTATTCTATTTTTCTTCCATTTTTTCTCAGGCCATTATTTTTGTCTCCCTTTTTTCTGATGACTCTATTTCACTTTTTCTCGCGCACTGGCGGCAATCCGCCCTTTTTTTCGAGAATGCACTACTTTATATATCAACCAAGACAGTGAGTACGTATTTTCCACTACAAGTTTCTTTCTTTCGTTTTTTTTCATCCTTCCTTCCTTCGTTGAAATCTGCCACGATTTACTGCCATGACTTATTTTCTTTATATCAGAAAATTGACTGGTCGATTCGTGCGCCAAATAGTTTGTACTCGGCTTTTCACCTAATATCCACAAACGTGTCTTCATTTCGCTAAAACTCGTAGAGACATTTTTCAAGAAAATCCCTGGAGAATAGTTTTTTTTTCTTTTAAAACCATTGGTACTTAAAAAATAAAATTTTTTTTAAACAAATAATTAAATATTTCGAAAAATATTTCAATAATTCGAGAAATGTTACAACAATTCGAAAAATTTTCTTTTCTTATTTTTATTTTAATCCTATTATTCATTTTATTTTTACGAAAAATTAACAATAACGTAGGTAATGTGTTTAAATATTGCATCGCGATATCATTCACCGGTTGAATGATTGTCGTTCGCGTTTATAACGAGTTTCAAAAGAGAACAAAAAATGCAATCCAACTGGAAAATCCAAAGGAATTTTGGTTTTTCATTGTTTTTTATGGAATCTATACGTAACAAAGTGCACTTTCAATTCAACAGGTGTCATTTGAGACAATTCAGAAGTGGGCGTAGTACCGAGCGTCTACTCTCAATTAAGGTTACTGATGCGGGAGGTCAAGGTTTTCGAAAGATATATTATTTCGTTCATAAAAATTTTCTTCTTCCTTTATAGTGCGAACAAAAAAAAAAAAAAAAAAAAAATTGTGAACGACTTTTGTACTTCAACGGAATAAAAAAAACCCTCTATAATTATATATTCAAACCATATCATTGGTATTTTTTTCAAAAAAATATTATTTCACATTATTCTTAGTTTTTAATATTACATAATTAATTATATAGTAATAAAAAATAATTTCTATAATCAATTATACATTATTCTACTAAAAATGATTATTATACTATTATTTATTATATATTATTATATAAATTATATAATAAATATTATTTTATTTATAAGAATGATATGTTTTTAATAATTTTATTAAATTAATATTAAATAATTAATTATTTAAATATTAATATTATTAATTGTATTAAATTTTAATAATTGCATTATTTAGTTAGCGATTTATCTTCTCTTCTTTATTGTTTTTGTTCTTATTACTATTATTTTTATTATTGAAGTAATTTTAATAATATTGTTGCAAATAATAAAAATAATAATAATAATAATAATAATAAAAAGAAAAAGTTGAAGAAGAGGAAGAAGAGTTTTAACAATTTAATGAATATTAATGCTTCAAATTTGTTGAAATTTGTTTAAAAAATTGTAACTTAAAAATAGGTGCCACTGATATATTATCAATTAATGATTTCCTTTTTGCTGCTACGTGTTAGATAAATTAATTTTCTAAAATAAAATATTGAAATTGTAAATCACTCACCGGTGGTAGACAGCAATTGAGGAATGTACTTTTTCCAGAAAGCACATTGTTTTGCTCTGGGACCGTAACCAATTTCTGTGGAGTTGGTGTCAAGTGTTAAATAGTCCTTTTTGGCAGCTGTGTGTTGCGGCCAACGTACGTCAGTCCAAGATCCATTGTCACCCATATTTGGATTTCTTAAAGAAAAATATAAAACATTAATTAGCATTTAGCGAAAAATATATTTAAAAAATTACAATAATTTTAGAATATTTTTTGAAGAACAGATGATAATTAGTAATATTTTCCTATATTGCAGGTACGCATTAAATTCGTATGATTAAAGATTTATTTATTTTACTTAATAATTATGAATATTAGTAATTAGAAATTAGTAATTATACATTAGTTGCTATTTTCACTATTTATTACATTCTCATAAAAAATGAGAAGATCTTGTTTTATTTACTAAAATCATAAACTTCATACTATATACTAAAATTATTTACTAAAATTTGTGATTTAGTTAATTTATTATTTTCCTACTTTACTATTTATCTGATTTACTGTTTATTGAATTTATTATTTACTTAATTTATTGTTTATTAAATAAATCGTTTACCCAAATTTACTATTTATTTTAATTATGTAAATTGAAGAGAAATGAAAACAGATATAATTTGTAATCAAACAATAATAATAAATAAGATAAATAGTAAATTAGGTAAATAACCATTAAAGTTAATAGTAAATTTATTATTATTTGATTACTAATTATTTTTTGTTTTTTCCCCTTTTAATTTACATATATTTCTTTAGTTTCGAATTTCTTATTATATTTTGAATGATAAAATTAAAATCACAAACTAGCGTTCTTTAGAGCATATAAAATACTCCTTTGTACATGAATTCATGAAAACTGAAGTAACTCTTCACAATTGACGAACGGAATTTTACAGCTCACATCTGCATATTTCACATGTGCGATAAAATTTACATTGAATAAACATGAAGTCTATTGAATATTTTACTTCTCACAAAAACCCATCTTCACGAAAATTTAAAGTAAACAGTGAATAATAACTTTATATTATAATTTACGAAAATAAATATTAATTTTATAATTAAAATGAAATAGAATTCGTAAAAAAGATTAGAAAATGTTTAATTGAAACCAATTATTGAAAATTTATAGAAATATTTTTTTATTAGTTTTTTCTTATGTTCTGTTTCTATTTCTTGTAACTTTCTGTAACTTTTTATAACTTTTGCCTAAACTGTTTGAAAATAGTTTTATTTAACTTTTTAAAACCAATTTCTGTTTCTACGTAATTTCTATAAAATTTTCTATACAAAAATATTCCAAAAAAACATTTTTTTAAATATTCGGGAATATTCTTGAAAATACTGATTATTTTTCGAATTATTTCTCAAATTTTTCCATCATTTTGAAAATCGTGCATTCTTTTGAAATATATTTTTATAAAACATTTCCTCGAAAAAGAATTGAAAAATATATAAAAGAGGTGTCTTGTGTTTTTTTTTTCTTCTCAGTAAAATATGGAGAAAAAAATTAAAAAATTTTTTAGGCAAAATAATCCACATTTCCAAAATTGCTATAAAATTTTCTATACAAAAATATTCCAAAGAAGCTTTTTAAATATTCGGTTAATTTCTTTTAAATTTTTTGTTTTTTGAAAAAAACTAAAAGTATAAATTTAAATATTCAACATAACGATTATTTTCAAATTTTTTCAATTCTTTTTTATAATTTTGAAAATAGTGCAATATTTTGAAAAATATCTTTGAATAATATTTGTCCGAGAAAAATTAAAAAATATATAAAAGAAATGTTTAGAGTTTTTTGGATGTTTAGAGTAAAATTTGGAAAAAACAATAAAGAAATTTTTTTTGTCAAAATATTTCATACTTCCAAAATTTCTATAAAATTGTCTATACAAAAATATTTCAAAAGAACTGAAATATTCCGAAATATTCTTCAATATATTGATTATTTTTAAATTTTTTTTTTTCAAATTTCTTGTTACAATTTTGAAAATCAAGCGATGTTTTAATAAAAACTTCTGAAAAATATTTTCCCCTAAAAAATTGAAAATGATACATAAAAAGAATGTTAATAGTTTTTTTCCCCGTAAAATTATAAAAAAAATGATGGAATTATATTTTTCTGCAAAATATTTCACATTTGGCAAAATATTCCACTTGAATATGGAATATTACAGAAAGATGAGTGAAATTTCTATCTAGTTTTGAGGGCAATTAATAAATTTATATGTACAGATAATATTCGTCGAATATAACTGTCTCGTTGCTTACCCTGTTTTCGCAAAGTTTGCCCAATACTTCATCATTCTCTGTGACAAGCGTTTCTCTTCCTGAGTGTAGTCTTTGGTGGGATCGAGTGGCTCTCCAAAAATATAATTAATTTCATCAGCGTGCATGACACCCGTCCATCTTGGCCAAGGGTTATTTTTCGATCTACAAAATAATTACTGATTACTCACCAAACAACATCAATTTTCTATCGTCAAAAAATAAAAAAAAAGAAACACCATAAATAATGAGAAAAAAATTATCTTTTGTCCCCAGAATTATTTAATTTATTAAATTTATTATTTATTTAATTTATTATTTACTATTATTATTATTGTTTGATTATAAATTATTTTTTGTTTTTACTTCTTTTGATATTAAAGTCTTTCTTTTAAAAGAAATTAAATTAAATTAAATTACTGTTCTTTTTTCTGAAAACTTTTTTTTATTTGTCAGAATTTGTTAAAATTTTATCACAATTTTTTCTCACGTATCAAAAAAATTAATTACAGTTTCTAAATGTAAAATTTAATTTTCTAACTTTAGATTTAATCAAATTGCAATCAGTAATTTATGAAAATGCTTAAAATAAAAAATATTTCGCTCACATTTGAAAGTTCAGAACTTGTGAATAAAAATATTCTCACCTGTGCTTGTAATAATACATATAAACAGTATTTCCCGTCTCGGCGTATCTTCCAGCGAATTCATTAACATTACACGTAAATTGATAATCGCCGACAATTTTATCTAGAGCATTCCGATTGTCATCGGGATCATCGGGATTAACCCAATTCGTATACTCATAAACAATTGCTGTACGTGCAATTTGATTCACGTAGGGATTTAATTCAGTGACTGCTTTAATAAATTCATCTCTCGATACTTTAACATCTTCAGTTCCATCGATTCGAAATAATTCCGTTAAATAGTAAATAATAAAATAAAATCCCTCCTCAGTATTTGAGCCCATAAGAATATTTGCCTTCTTGAATGATTCCGTCAATAGTGTACGTTGCGGCGTATCATCGAGAAAGGAACCATCAATTACAGGAACAAAGGGAAATTCACAAATACCTAAAGTACCCCATTCACTATTGACCAATTCAACTGGATCTTTTATCAGAAGACAATCAATAGCTTCTTGAAGTGCATTTTCATCGTGCGGACAACCAACTGCTTCCGCTAATCGGATACCTCGTATTATCGACTCCTCCCGGGATATTATTGCCCATGGAGCTGTTGGCGAACCCGACTGCATTATTGCCTGATTGAATAGTTGCCTGGACAGAAAAATAAATTTTATTTTAATTTTATCTAATCGAATTTATTTTCCTCTGTACGGAAAACGTTATTATTTAACGAAAAAATAATCATTTTTTGTTCAATTTCTTTGCTGGAAACTAGAAAGAAAATTTTTTGATCTAATCAGATTTATTTTCCTCTGTACAGAAAATTTATTACTTATAAAAAAACAATTTTTAATTCTATTTATTACTGGAAATTGAAAAAAAAATTATTTTGATCGAATCAGATTTATCTTCGTCCATATAGAAAATTTATTAATTATCAAATAATTTTTTATTCACTTTCTTACTGAAAAATACTTTAAAAAATTGATATTAAAGAAAGAAAGTAAAAACAAAATTACAGAAAATATTTTTTCTACATAATTTTATAAAGAAAATTTTTGTTTTCGAATGTAAGCCTCGGATTAAATTTTTGTAGCAAGAAAGTGGTTTTAGTCGATTCAAAGAACGACAATAGTCGAAAAGTCCTGTATTTTATTCAGAATTGTCACAAAAATTTTTTATTTTTATTTCACTAATTTGCAGGAAAATTTATAAATTTAAGCCCTATCCCGATAATATATTCAATTTTAAATTTTTGTAAAATTCAATTATTATTTTCAAATAATTTTATATTTCTTCACATTTTTTTTCAAAATCAAGATTTTTTTTTACAAATTTTATAATAAAAATCTTTAATATAAAAAATACAATTTGTTTCATTAAAATTAGACGAAACTTCTAATTAATTATCTTCGGCAATTTAATTATCTTAAAAAAAAATCTAATTTCAATCCAAATTTTTCATAAACTTAATTTTCTCAGAGTTTCTAAATTTAATGATTTAAAATATTAAGCCTAATAATTTTGATAAATAAATATTTAGGGGAACATAGTCTAGGTCGGCCACCTTTTTGACTTTTGTTTATAACTTTTTTTTAAAAATGAATTTGGACAATTGAAGTATATGGTTGGAAAGTCCTGTTTAATAGGAACATCTTTTCTGTACAAAGTAAATTGATTGGTTTTAAAATGAAAAAGTTATAAAGATTTAAAAAAAAAAAAATTTGTAGTCGAGGTTGGCCATTACAGTCAAGGTCGGCCATGTTTAAAATTCAAAGGGCATTAATCGTTAAAAAATAAAATAACATGTTTGGAGTTACGGAATATTGATTCTTTATTGTTTACAGTTTGTAACTTAATAAAATAACAAAATAATAACAATAAACAATATAAAAAAATAAATATAAATAAAAAAAAATTCTGCACTAAAATATTAATAAAATTAAATAAAAATATTAATAAGATGATCAATTATATTATGAGTTATACAGAATTGCAGTTTTTGCAAATGAAGTAGCTCGTCCTCAACTTTGCGCATTTTAAACACATAGTGGCCGACCTTGACAGTAAGTAACATTACCGAATTGTTGTAACCATAAAGAAATACGTTTCGGGATTCGATTTTTTACTTTGTTTTCCTTTCAACCATGAGTCCCACAAATTTTCTGCATACTTGCCTTGACGATTCAATTTGTTTTTTATCTTTTATTAATGGTTTTTCACATTATGCACAAAACTTTTTTTGAGCTTTTTTCGTACCGACGTCACAGAAAACACAATTTTCGATCCTCCGAAAATGTAATTGAACAAAAAGTTAGGTTACACTAAGATAAGCTTCGACAAGCATGCGTGTAGGTGGCGCTAGTGAACTTGTCCAAAAAATCGCGATGGCCTACCTAGACAGTAGACCAACCTTGACTACATTCCCCTAAATACTGCGATTTTAAATCCTTTGAAATATAATTATTTTTAAAACAAAACAACTGCAATTCTTTCAAAATTTAATTACTTTCAAAGAATTTTAACAAAAATCTTTTTTAAATTAATTATTTTTAATGATTTTAAAATAATTTTTTTCTAAAATTCAGTTACTCAGAAAAAACCTTATTTAAAATAGGTTTAAAATACAATTTGTTTTAAATTCAATTCTACGAAAATTCGACTTTTCAATAATTTTCCATTTAAGTTTATATTCAAAAATTTCAAAAATTTAACTATGCTAAATATGTAATCTTACAATAATTTTGAATTAAAATTTTTAAAAAATTAAGTTCTTCAAAATTTTTAATGAATATTATCAAAATTCATATTTTACAAAATTTCAATTTGAAACCTTGTGAAAATTAATTGTTTCTAATAATTTCTGCTATAATTGTTACGATTTTGAATTATTTTCTAGAATTTTTAACTAAAATTATTCTCTAAATCAATTATTATTAGGAATATTCATTTTTCATTTATATTTTAATAATTTTTCAATTCAAATCTACAGAATTAAAATTACTCAAAAATTTTTTAATTAAATATATTCTATTCCAAAATTTAATCGATTTAAAAAAAAACTTGAATTAAAATTTTTCAAAGAACTTAATTCTTTAGAATTTTTAATCGAAATTATTAAAAATTTAAATTTTACAGAATTTTCATTTGAAACCTTTAGAAATGTAATTATTTCGAAAAATTACTGCTACACCTCTTTCAATATTGAATTATTTTCTAGAATTTTTAACTAAAACTCTTCTATAAATAAATTATTTTTAACAATTTTGATTAAATTTTTTTTCAAAATTCCATTATTTAAAAAAAATTCAAATAAAATCCTTTCAAGAATCAATTTATTTCAATTCACCGATCAAAAAAAAAAAAAAAATAGAACTACAATTTTTCAAGTAATTAAATTCTTCAGAATCATTTTCATAAAGTTTTTTTAGAATTCAATGATTCAAAACAAAGTTAAGTTCACTTAGTCTAAAATTCAATATTGTTTTCAATTCAATATTATAAGACTTTGTATACTTTGTATACTCGAAAATTTTTTAATTAAAACTCAAAATTTAACTAATTTTCAAAAAATTTTAACTAACATTGTTGAAAAAATTAAATTCTTTATAGTTATTAATAAAAATTTTTCAAACTTGAAATTTTAAAACATTTTAATCTGAAACCTTTTAAAATTTTGTTTGTAAAAATTTTTGCTACAACTCTTCAAATATTAAAATATTTTCTAGAATTTTTTTTTAAACTGTTCTCTAAATCAATTACTCTTAATAATTTTTGGAAAGTTCTTCGAGATCTCAATTATTTATACAAAAATTAATTTTCTTTATAAAAATTACAACTTTAACAGTTTATAGTTTTTTTTGAAAAAGTTTTTAAGGTGAAAAAGAAAATTCAATCAAAATAATTGAATAATATAGTAATTATTTAATTTTAATAAAATTTATTTAATATTTTCTAAAAACCAGAATTTTTGTATCATTTTTAGAAATTTGATGTTTCCACTATTTTGGATAAAATACCCCAATTCCCCTAAACTAAATTAAAAAAAAGTTTTTTTTTACTGAATAATGCATTATGTGCAAAAAAGGCAAAAAATTCCCATTTTATTAAAAGTAAGTCGCGTCTTTTGAAAATAATAGGAAAAAAGTCGTAAAAATCATAATCTCCGAAGCCTGCCAATAAAAAGAGAATAATTAAAAATTTAGTTCTCTTGTGTAGCATTTTTTTTTTTTTTTTTTTTTTTGAGAATAATAAAATAAAGAAAGAGATTAATGAGGATTTACCTAGATAGAGGCGACAGTAAGTGCATTGAGACGGAAACTGCACCGGCACTTTCGCCAAAGAGTGTGACGTTGTCGGGATTACCGCCAAAAGCCGCGATATTGTCGTGTACCCACTGAAGTGCCATGAGTTGATCGAAGAGGCCAGCATTGCCTGGCACATCGTATGTTCCAAAGTAAAGAAAACCGAGACTTGCGACTCGATACTGCATTGAAACTAAGATAACGTTCTCCTCAGACACAAGGGTCCTGTGATCGTAGACGTCCAGGGTTGCAGAACCCGAGTAGAAACCACCTAAAAGTAATCTATGGTGATCCAACAACCACCTTCCAACACTGAACAATTTACTTCTTTTTTTTCTAGTTTTTTTATTTTTTTTAATTCAATTAAGTTCAGACTAAAGGCTCTTTTTAATTCAATTTAAGTTCAGCCTAAGTATTTTTTAAATTTAGTTAATTTCCGACTAACGATTTTTTCAAAATTCAATTTAGTTCAGTTTAAGAATTCTTCGTGTGTATTTTTTCTGAATAATTATCATCACTAATAAAAACTAATAATTCAGGGTTGCCATAAATATTTAATTTTATTTTTCCCTGACTTTTCCCTGATTTCCAGACAAAATTTTCACTTTTTCCCTGACCATAAAGAATATTCTGATTCACTCTAAAAATTATTAGATACTCAAAAAAACATTCTATTACATTTACTTACGAATTTCTTAAATTGTAAAATTATTCGCAAACATCAATAACTAAATTTTTAAATAAGTATTTAATTATTATTTTTCCATAGGAATTAAAATTCTACAAAACATTCAAATTCAAACATTTTTAGAATTAAGCAACTTATAAGAATATTATTATAAAACATGAAGATATCAATTACCCCGAGTCGAAGACTCGGAGTGATTGATATTTTCATGTTTTATAAAAATTTTAATTTCCATAAAATTTTTCAAAAAAAAAATTAAATTATTTACAAAAATTATAATAAAATTCTTCACATGGTTTCAATTATTTTTAATACAATTCTAAATAACTTTCTCGAAAAACAAAATTATCTTCAAAAATTTTTTGCAAGAATTAAATTAGGTACATTTCACAAATAATGAAATTCTTCGCTGAAATTTAAAAATTTTCAAAATTTACATTTTTATTACAAGTTTTCAAAAGAATATAATTATTTAAATAAAATGTAATAAAATTCGTTGCAAAAATTCAATTATTTTTACAAGTAATAAAATTTTTAACATGAATTCAATTATTTAAAAAAAATTGATAAAATTCGTTGTAAGAATTCCATTATTTTCATAAATTATAAAATTTTTCTCAGGATTTCAATTATTTATAATACAATTTAAAGTAAATTCCTAGAAAAATGGAATTATTCTCTTAGTTTTTTTGTAAGAATTTAATTACATTTCACGAATATAATGAAATTCTTCCTTGAAATTAAAATATTTTCACAATCTACTTTTTTAATAAAAGTTCTTAAAAGAATTCAATTATTTAAAAAAATGTAATAAAATTCGATGCAGGAATTCAATTATTTTCATAAATTATAAGATTCTTTACATTATTTCAATTATTTAAAAAAAAAATTTTAAAAAATTCATTGCAATAATTCAATTACTTTCATAAATTAATAAAACTCTTCACAAGATTTCAATTATTTTTAATACAATTTTAAGTAAATTCTTCGAAAAATGTAACTATTTTCAAAAATTTTTGTTAAAATTCTTCGAAAGAATTCAATTATGTATTTTATTAATTATGTATTTTTTAAAATTCATGCAAAAATGCTTTTAATATTCAATCATTATCTAAAATTTTAACTAATATTCATTTTCAAATCAATTTTTATTGGAAAATTCTACAAGAATTCAATTATTTAAATTCAAAAATAAATAATTTATTGAATAAATGAATGTTTTTCGAAACTAAATTATCATAAAGAATTTTATCAACAAATTTGAATTTTTTCGAGAAATTTTAATAAAATTTTCAAAAATCATTCAATTTTTTGAGGAATTCAATTAAAATTGTATTAAAAATAATTGAAATTCTATGATGAATTTTATTATTCATGAAAGTAATTGAATTTTTGTAAAAAATGTTATTATTTATGAAAATAATTGAATTATTGCGAAGTTTGCTTAGAATTTTATCAAAAATTTTTTTTGAAATAATTGAATCCTTTTGAAAATTTTTATTAAAACTGTAGATATTGAAAATCATTAAATTGAGAAAAATTTTTTGAAAATAATTGAAATTTTGCAAAGAATTTTTAAAAAATTTTTGAAAATAATTGAAATTAGGAGAAGAATTTTATTATTTTTTAAGATAATTGAATTATGACGAGAATTTTTTTTAATTTTTGAGCATAATTGAACTTTTGCGAAGAATTTTATTACTTTTGAAAATAATTGAATTTTTGCAATTAATTTGTAACTTCTTCAAAATTCAATTTTTCCCAATTACTTAAATAAAAATCCCTGACTTTTCCCTGATTTCCCCGACCTGTGGCAACCCTGTAATATTAAAATAATAATTAAAAATAAATTTAATCCTCTTCCACTTTAATTTTCAAAATTCTTTGAAAAAAATTTTCTTCTCCTCTTAAATTTGACCGAGAGAAAATATAATATTAAGAGGTAATACGAGGCTAATTTTTTGTTATTGGATTTTAATCTTGTGAGTCGCGATTGGCTAAATTATTGGACACAATAAAAATTAATTTCAAATAATTTTGAAACTAATCACTTTTTAGAAAAGAAAAAATGTTGAGTCAAAATTTTTCGTTAAATATATTCCTAAAAGTTTCGAACGTTCAAATAAACGACGATATATTTTTAGAGCTTTTAATTTGTATTTTCTTTTTTATTAAATTATTTTGTTTATTAAAAAACTGATTCTGAAGAAAGTAAATATTTATTTTAATTATTTTTCTTTTTTTGCATAGTAATTTTGAAAAATATTTAAATAGAAACAAAAAAAAGCTATTTAAAAAATTGCAATTTTTGGCTAAACTAAAAAAAATTAAAATATTGACAAAAGATTTTGACTCATCATCACTTTTTCTTAATAGTTTTTAAGTAAATTTCAAAATTATTACCTACAATTGTAGTCTTTGTCCAATTTATTTATTTAAATACGTTGAATACGTTCATGTAAGATTGAACCAATTTTCGAAAAAATTACCAAAATTGGACCAATTATATTTTTTCACGTCTAAAATTGTAAAAACTAATTCCAAACCCGATAATATTGGCACAATATTAAAATTTAATTTCTGCAATTGGTTTCCACAAATTCGAAATGAATTTTACTTTTAAGATTTGACAATTCTTAAGAGAAATTTCACCAAGATTGAGCCAATATTGTTGAGAATTCAGAAATCAATTCAAAATCTGCTTCTACATTTCCGATTGAAAATTAGTTCCGGACTCGTGATGTGGTCCAATTTTATCCAATTGTGGTTCAATATTTAAATTCGATGCTCTACATTCATTCCAACAATCGTCTGGCGTAAAAATAGAGAATAAAAAAAAATTGGAAACTGGAGAATTGAAGACAGAATCACCAAAATTGGGCCAATATTGTTCCACATCTGAGAGTATAGAATTCAAGAATATTCCAAATTTATTTCTACACTTTTGAATTGAAAATTTCTTTCCAAAATCCAATAATTGGATCGATATTTAAATTCGAGACTATAGCCAAATTGATAATCATAATCTTGAGCCAATATTGTCGAGGAAAATATTTCTCCCAATCATGGTAAGTCCCTCGAAATTGGTCCAAATCTACACATGAATCGTATTTGTTTTTTTTCTATAAATATATAATTTACATATTTGAGAGTATTTAAAAAAATTTTTGCGATTTTCATAATAAAAATAATTGCTATGGAAAATAATATTAAGTGGTAATAAGGATAAAAAATAAAAATGGCTAATGATAAATTTTGACTAATAAAAAGAAACTCACCACCGAATATCCATACCATGACAGCGGCATTAGTAGGCCTGGGTTGCGGAACGACAACATTTACATAAAGACAGTCCTCACTAAGTGCTGTATTAGGATTCCACATTGTTGCACCGGCGAAATCCCCAAAGACGGTGTCCAGAATTTGAACACAACTGTTCGGCAGTGTTGTCGCGTTAAGGACTCCTTGCCAAGGTTCTGCTGGCCTTGGATGACGAAACCTCAACGCACCTTGAAAATGCAAAATCAGAATTTCAACAGCAAAAAAAAAAAATCCAAATGATTTACAAAAATCAATTAAGAAATAAATAAAACGAATTACTATCTAAATTTTAATTAGTAAAAACGTTTACTATTTTGAATTATTAACTGAATTTGACTAATTTACTAATTTAAAAGCAAAAAGTGTCACTAATTTAAATTAGTAAAGGAATTACTAATTTAAATTTAGAGAATAAAAAATAGAAATTCGTATTAATTTGTATTACAGGGTTTCCACAAAAATTCTACTTTATTTTTCTCTGACTTTTTCCTGACTTCCAAACAGAATTTCGACTTTTTCCCTGGCCACCATAAAAAGAACTCAAGGAGACCAAAAGATAATTTTTAGAAGCACAAATTTAATTTTAAAACACATCAAGAGTGTCTACTTATTTTAAAAATGAAATTAGTTATTTGCTTCGAATTTTCTTTGACTATTTACGATTGGAAAAGTTTACATTTTTGTTTAGGACTAACGCATCTCAATTTAAAATTGTTTTTCTAGAAATAAAGTAAATTTGTTTTCTAGAGATTATTCACTTATCATTTTAAAAAATTTAAATTATTTTAAAATGAATTTTAGAAAATTTCTCTCCTTTCAAAAATTTTAATTACTTATTTATAAAAAATTTAATTCTTAAACAATTCTAAAAAATTTTTTGAAATTTTATAAAAAATATTTCCTTTATTTGTTTAAACGAGATTAAAAGTTCAGGAAAAATATCAATTATTCAATTGAAATTTCTTAAGAATTCTATTATCCCGGAATTATTCACGAAACAATTGTCAATTTACTTTTTTAAAAATCTCTGCGATAAAATTCTTTTAAAAATTTAATTATTCTCTATTCGATTAATAATTTTTTTTAAAACATTAAAATATCTTTAAATAATTGAATTAAAATTTTTTCAGACATTTTTAAATAAAATAATTAAAAATTTTAAGAAGTTTGAAAAAAATAATCAATAAAAATAAGACTTTCACTTTTGAAAAGTGCAACTGTTTATATTTAAAGTTTTTTCTTAGCCAATTATTAAATTCAAATTCTTTAAAAACTCTTTTTTTTAAAGCTGTATAATGAAATTTTTTAAAATATTTAATTATTTTCTATTATATCACATTCGCCTAAATTTTAAATCTTTAAACAAATTTTTTTAAAAATTCAAACACTTTTAAACAATTGAATATACAATTTTGTCAGAAAACTAATTTCTTCAAAACTGTAAATAAAATTATTTAAAATTTAAACAATTATCTAAATAAATATATAATTAGATATTATTTTCTTCATAGAAATGAAAATTTTCGCAAAAATGTCAGTTTTAAACGTTTGGAAATTCAATTATTTCCTAAAATTGCAATTGTTAATTAACATCATTTTTTTTGTTACTTCAAATAAATAATTTTAAATAATAAATGATTAATTTTAAAAATATTTCTCGATACCAAAAATTATAATAATTTTTTGTACTTTTGATACAATTTTCTGTAGATTTTACTGACCTGTGACAAACCTGTAATAAAACATTCCCCCCAAGAATCATTTTCTCTAAATTTGAATCAGTTAAAAATAACAGAATTTGGATAGCTAGTCAAAATTTATAATTTTTAACATATTTTTGAGTTAAATTCATTTAATTTTCAGTAGTATAACTTTATGTTTGGTGAGACATTACTTTAATAAATAAATCTGTTTTTAATCAGACGTCATAAAAATTATTATCTACTGATTTAGAAACATTGAAAGTTTCAAAAATTAGTGTAAAAGGTTATTTAATTAGTTTATTAAATGTTTTTATTGGTCTTTCTATATTTATTAAATAAAGTGTTATTTTCAGTAGTACTCAACCGTACTTAGTCAGACATACTAAAAAAGTTAACGAATATTTAAAAAAATTGAAATATTTCAATATAATTTAAAAATATTTTCGTTGGGAGTTTAAATTTTATTAAGATATAATTTTAAGTAGTGTAGGTCCGCCTAGAGTCAGACCTTAAAAAAATATTTAAATACACTTTTTGTAAAATTCTAGAATTTTAAATAGTATAAGACGAGGATTTATCAGAATATTTTTTTTTTTTGTCAGTTATAATTTATTTTAAAAGAAGAAATCAGTAGACTAAGTGTATATTTCGTCAGACTTTATAAAAATTACTGAATATTTTGAAAAATATAAACATTTCAAGTATTAAATAATTTACAGCAATTGATAAAATTTTTTAAATTTTCTCTTGGAAGTTAAAATTCTATTAGGGTCGAATTTTAAGTAGCATATGTCCACCTTAAGTCAGACTTCAGAGAAATAATCAAATTCTGACTGATTGTTAGATACTTAAAAATCATTGATATTTCAGTACATTTTTTTAACTGATTTCAATTTGGCAAAATTTAACTAATTTCTCAGTAATTTTTTAACTCACAATCAGTCATTTTTTAATGTTTTTTTTTATAGTTTCAGTGAAAGAAAAAATTTGTTTCACATAACTTGTCTATTATCAAATAAATATTTACTTGAATCAAATAATTTTTATTTCATTCAATTAAATGGTATTTGAACCAATAATTTTAGTATTCGAAACAAATACAAGTTAATTCACTGAGAAAACAATACATTTGAATAAATCTTAATAATCTTTGTTATACAGTTAAATAAAAATATTTTTGAATTAAACATAATAATTTTCATTCAATACATATTAATATAATAACTTTGATTCAATAAAAATAACGTTCAATTTAATTGTAAAATATGTTTAATTCAAACCTATTTTTTGGTTGGATACTTATTTTTGGATAACAAAAAAATATTTTTCTCAGTGTTAACTGAAATAAAAATGATTTGATTCCAGTAAATATTTAATTGACAATAGTCAAATAATTGGTCATTTGAATGAAATAAATTTCATTTGAGTTTAATTTTCACTGACTATACATAAATACATACACTGATTGTCAGTTAAAGAGTGATTTTTAACTGATTGAAATTTAGCGAGTCGAGTAATGTGAATAATTTTTTTTTGGAAATGAAAAATAAGAATAAAATACTCACCAATTGGTTTTTGTGCATAGGGAATGCCGAACCAAGCATCGACCTTTTTGCCAGTTGTAGCAGTCAAGGTCGTACCCTTCACCCGGCCCGTTCGTGTTTGAACGATCAGAGGATCGTCCTCCGGGTTCGAGCCAAGCGGCTCGGCCCGCGGTAACTCCTCGTTGACCTCTATCGATCTCATATTCTTCGGCTCCTCGTGCGACAAATCCGCATGGTGTCTACTTCTGTGAGGTGGCGAACACCTTGCAAGGTCAAGGCCAACCATTATCAGGAACATCACCGCCAACACTGTCTCCACTCTCGGCTCAATTTTTCTTTGATTATTCCGCATCGTATCCTTGCCTAATGCAAATCAATCATATTTCTCATTCTCACTAATTTTATTCATATTTCTCTTATCTTATTCATTAGTATTTCTCATCTTATCCATTAGTATTTTTTTCATTTTATTCATTCATATTACTAAATTTTTTCATTAATATTTCTAATTTTATTCATTTCATAGATTTTCGAAGAATGTCAAATTGAGAAAGAAAACATATCAAAATTGTTGCGTATATATATATATATATATATATTTTCTGTCTCAATTTGACATTCTTCGAAAAACTGTGCAGTTAAATTAATTTTATTACTTTTTTTAAATTAATTCTTTTAACCTCTTAAGAATACTTTCTAAATTTGAATTTGTAAAAATATTTAAAAATTTGAATTAGGGACTTTTTGCTATTGAATTAGTAAATTTTACTATTTAATTAGTAGAAATTACTATTAAGTTAGTAGAAATTACTATTAAATTAGTAGGAATTTACTAATTCAAATGCAAAAACCCAGTCACTAAATCAAATTAGTAGACATTTTTACTAATTAAAATTTAGAGAGTGCCGCTGACAACACTGAGAAAACAATTTATTTGAATTCAGGATTGCAATCAAAATTTAACGTTGTTTTTCTCTGATTTCAAAAAAAAAAATTTGACTTTTTTCTTACCTAAAGAATATATTCTGATTCGCTTTAAAAATTATTAGTTACTCAAAAAAATTTTTCATCATATTTATTTACAAATTTCTTTAATTGAAAAATTATTCAAAAACATCAATATAACTTCATTTTAAAAAAAAATATTTAATCTTCATTACATTTCCATACAGGAATTATAAGTTTTTCGAATATTTCAAATTCAAAACCTTTTTGAAATTCAACACCTTATAATAATTAAAGATGACCGAGTGATAAAATATAATATAAAATTTTTCTTTAAATCAATTATTTTTAAGATTATTTTATAAACTTCTTTTCAGAATTTTCAAATGAATTCACTTGTTTACAATTCAATTTTATGAAATTTCGATTATTTAGAATTTTTTTAATTAAATATACATTAGAAAAAAAATTGAAATAATTTATAAAATTTTCGAACTAATTTGAAAATAATTAGATCTATAGAATTTTTAAATAAGAGCATGAAAAATTCAGATTTTAAAATATCTTGATTTGAAGCCTTTACAAAATTCAATTATTTATAAAAAAAAAATTACAATTATTAGTAACTTCTCTAAAATTGAATTTTTATCTAAAACTTTAACTGAAATTAATTTTTAAATCAATTTTTATTAGAAAATCCTACGAGAATTCAATTATTTAAATACAAAATTAAATAATTTATTGATTAATTGAATGTTTTTTAAAATTCAATTCTCATAAAGAATTTAATCAACAAATTTTTAAATAAATGAATTCTTTCGACGAATTTTAATAAAAATTTTAAAAATAATTACATTTTTCAAGGAATTTGATTAAAATTGTATTAAAAATAATTGAAATACTGCAATGAGTTTTATTAATTTATGAAAATAATCTAAGGAATAAATTATGCAAATTCTATTTTTAATAATTGAATTTCTGTGAAATTTTCATTATTTTAGAAAATAATTGAATATTTGTGTAGAATTTTGTCAAAATTGTTTTTAAATATTTGAATTCTTTTGGGAAATTTTGTTAAAATTGTAAAATATATACCTACAAATTATTAAATTAAAAAAATTTGTTTGAAAATAATTGAAATTTTTCCATGAATTTTATTAAAAATTTTTAACGTAAAGTGTTTTCAGGACCTTAATTTTTGTCAAATAAAATTGTTTATTTTATTTAGTTTTGGACCCAAGGCCACAATATAAACAATTTTATTTGATTAAAAATTTTTAAAAGAATTGAATTTTATTAGTTTTGAAAATAATTGAATTCTTGTGATGAATGTTGTTATTTCTGAAAATAATTGAATTTTGCAATGAATTTTTTTACTTATTAAAAAATTATTAGATATTAGTTGAATATTGAAAATCATTGAATAAAGAAGAATTTTTGAAAATAATTGAAATTTTGCAATGAATTTTTTTAAAATTTTTGAAAATAATTGAATTTTATTACTTTTGAAAATAAATCGAATTTTTGTGATGAATACTATTATTTATGAAAATAATTGAATTTTGCAATGAATTTTATTAAAATTTCTGAAAATAATTGAATTTTGTCGAAGAATTCTGCTATTCATTCATAAAAATAATTGAAATGTTGACGATAATTTTTTTTAGATTTGTTGAAAATAATTGAAATTTTGCAATGAATTTTATTAAAATTCTTGAAAATAATTGAACTCTTGTGATGAATATTGTTATTTCTGAAAATAATTGAATTTTGCAATGAATTTTATTAAAATTCCTGAATATCGGCGAAGAATTTTGCTATTTATAAAGATAATTAAAATGTTGACGAAATTTTTTTTTTTAATTTTTGAAAATAATTGAATTTCTGGAGTGAATTTTTATATTTATCAAGATAGTTGAATTTTATTCTTTTAAAGAATTGCGTTAAAATTTTAAAAATTGAAACTATAATTTCAAGAGTTTCATTAAATGATTTATAAGTAATAACTTTATTGCAGTTCTTCAATAGAATTAATTTATTTAAAATAAATTATTGTTAGAAATAGAAAAAATTGATGATTTTTTAAAATTTGAGGTAATTTTATAGTTTATGTGTTAAACAAAAAGACACAAAAATTCAGAATTTTCTTATAAATTCTAAACATTTTTTCCAGTAGTTTTAATAAAAATCTCTGACTTTTCCCTGAATTCCTTGATTTCCCTGACCTGTGGCAACCTTGTTGATTCAAACAAATTTTGTTTATAGATTAAACTTAAAATATCTTTGCATATTTAAGTTTAATTCAAACATATTTTTGGTTAATTTAAAGAAATAAATATATTTAATTCAAAGATTAATATTGATTAAAAGTTTTTTACAATCAACTTTTAAGTTTAAATCAAACATAAAATTTTAAACATATTATTATTTATTGTTTAAATAAAAAAAGAACAAGTGGGTCATCTTTTTGAAATAGTGGTTAATATTCTTTTTTGAAAGAATACTTATAGAATGGAAAAAATTGTCCATTGTGAATGGGAGTGGTCCAGGCAAGTTGACAAGAGGTTTTTGTTATACAAGTTTTCTTTTTTCTGACATGAAATTCCAATAGGATAGATTCAGGCAAGTGGATAGAAAAGGTTTTACAACTACAGAAGATGTATTTCCACTAGAGAAAGGGTTTTACTACTTAAGAAGATGTTTTCCAATACAGAAGAGGTTCTCTGATTCGGAAGGTATTTTTCACTGTGCACAAAAGTTTTCCCAATTCAGCAGATATTTTCCAATTCAAAAGAGATTCTCCAACTTAGAATTTGCTTGTAATTACAGAAGTGATATTCTATTTCAGAAGAGTTTTTCCAATACCAAAATTTAAATTTAATTAAAATAAAAGTTTTTTAATTCCGAAGATATCTTTTAGAAAACATTTCCTACACTCAAAAAATAAATTTATTTGATTCAATTTTAATTCAAATTATTTGAGATAAATAAGATTTAGTCGACACTATAAAATTATGTTATTGATAAAAAAAATATTTTTATTAAGTAAATAATTTATTGAAACGAAAATAGATTTCCTAATTCGAATATTTCTATAATATAAAAAAATATTTAATATTTATATGAATAAAAGTATATTTAATTCGATTGACCAGAGTTTTCTAAATTCAGAAGATAGTTTCCAATTAAAAAATCGATTTCCTGATTCGAATTTTTCTAACAAAGAAAAATTGGTTTTAATACAGAAAATATATTTTAATTCGGAAGATATATTTTTTTTTTTGATACAGGAAAGGTGTCCTAGTTCTAGAAGAGAATAAATAAAGTTTTTCTATTCTGAAGATGTTTTCTAGTATAGAAAAAAGTCAATGAAGCTCAGTTCTTTATATCACTACTGTCAATATTTTTCAGTTCCCTTTAAAATAAATTTCACTAGACAAAATAAACCCAAAAATTCTGCTGTGTAGAAACTGCTAAAATTCGATAGAAAAATATTTTCAAATTCATGATACAAAAATTCTCGAACGTGCCAAACATCTTCAAAACAGGATTACATAATACACTTGACAAAATAGTTTTCTTCAAAATTACTTCAGCTTACGAGGGAAAGGTAAAGTTTACCTTATAAAAATTTACAGAAGCAACTTTTATACACCAACCAATATTTTAAAATACCAACAATAATAATATATTTAAATAATAGTTACCTCAGTACTAAAATAAATAATTTATCATTTAGTAAATATATACTGAAGAAAAATTTTATTTGATTCAAATAACCGATTACTTGTCTATTATCAAATAATATTTAATTGAATCAATAATAATTTCAGTGTTTGTTTTTTAATTATTAAAATTATTCAAAAACACCAATAACTTCATTTTTAATTAAATATTTAATCATTATTAATAACCATTATTATTTTTTCCATTTTCAAAAATTTCAAAATCAAACATTTTTTAAATTCAACAACTTATAAGAATATTATTATTAAACATAAAGATATCGTTCACTCTGAGTCTTCGACTCGGAGCAATCGATATCTTCATGTTTTATAACAATTAAAAATGATCTAGTATTATGCTCTAGAATTTTTAACTAAAATCCTTCTTTAAATCAATTATTATTATTTTTAATAATATTTGGAAAAGTTCTTTGAGAATTTTCAAATCTATTTGTTTACAATTCAATTTTAGAAAATTTCCAATAATCAGAAATTCTTCAATATTAGAAAATAAAAACTTCAAATAATTTCAAAAAAACATTCAATTATGTAAACTTTTTCAGAAAAAAATTAATTCTACAGAATTGTTAGTTAAAAGTATGAAAAATACCGATTTTCAAAGATTTTAATTTGAAACCTTTTCAAAATTCAATTATTTCTAAAAATTCACGCTATATTGCTTTTAATATTCAA